CCCTCCCGTGATGTCCCCACCGTGTCCCCACCCCAGGGCAGAGCGGCGCCGGCAACAACTGGGCCAAAGGTCACTACACGGAGGGGGCGGAGCTGGTGGACTCGGGGCCAAGGGCCACTACACGGAGGGTGCTGAGCTGGTGGACTCGGTGCTGGACGTGGTGCGGAAGGAGTGTGAGAACTGCGACTGCCTGCAGGGCTTCCAGCTCACCCACTCGCTGGGCGGGGGCACCGGCTCCGGCATGGGCACCCTCCTCATCAGCAAGGTGCGGGAGGAGTATCCCGACCGCATCATGAACACCTTCAGCGTGGTGCCGTCTCCCAAGGTGTCGGACACGGTGGTGGAGCCCTACAATGCCACCCTCTCTGTGCACCAGCTGGTGGAGAACACGGACGAGACCTACTGCATCGATAACGAAGCTCTCTACGACATCTGCTTCCGCACCCTCAAGTTGGCCACTCCCACCTACGGTGACCTCAACCACCTCGTCTCGGCCACCATGAGCGGTGTCACCACCTCCCTCCGCTTCCCCGGCCAACTCAACGCCGATCTCCGCAAGTTGGCCGTCAACATGGTCCCGTTCCCACGTCTCCACTTCTTCATGCCGGGCTTCGCCCCGCTGACGTCGCGCGGCAGCCAGCAGTACCGCGCCCTCACCGTCCCCGAGCTCACCCAGCAGGTCTTCGACGCCAAGAACATGATGGCCGCCTGCGACCCGCGGCACGGCCGCTACCTGACGGTGGCCGCCGTCTTCAGAGGCCGCATGTCCATGAAGGAGGTGGACGAGCAGATGCTCAACGTCCAGAACAAGAACAGCTCCTACTTCGTGGAGTGGATCCCCAACAACGTGAAGACGGCCGTGTGTGACATCCCACCGCGGGGGCTGAAGATGGCCGTGACCTTCATCGGCAACAGCACGGCCATCCAGGAGCTCTTCAAGCGCATCTCGGAGCAGTTCACGGCCATGTTCCGCCGCAAGGCCTTCCTGCACTGGTACACGGGCGAGGGCATGGACGAGATGGAGTTCACCGAGGCCGAGAGCAACATGAACGACCTGGTCTCCGAGTACCAGCAGTACCAGGATGCCACCGCTGAGGAGGAGGAGGACTTCGGGGAGGAGGCTGAAGAAGAGGCCTGAAGGGTTGGGTGGTCATCCTTGGAGAGTCCTCGTCCTTCACCACCATCATCATCCTTGGAGAGCCTTTGTCCTTCACCACCATCGTCTTCAGAGAGTCCTCGTCCTTCAGCGTCATCATCATCCTCAGAGAGTCCTCGTCCTTCACCAGTGTCCTCGGAGAGCCCTCGTCCTTCATCATGGTCCTTGGAGAGTCCTCATCCTTCACCAGTGTCCTTGGAGAACCCTCAGTCTTCAGCGTCGTCCTCGTCCTTCATCAGTGTCCTCAGAGAGTCCTCGTCCCTCAGCATCATGGTCTTCACAGAGCCCTTGGCCTTCATCAGTGTCCTCAGAGAGTCCTTGGTCTTCATCATGGTCCTCAGCCTTCATCAGTGTCCTTGGAGAGCCCATGGTCTTCATAATTGTCTTTGGAGAGCTCTTGTCCTTCATGACTGTCCTCAAAGAGTCTTTGGTCTTCATCGTTGTCACCAGAAAGCACTTTGCCATCACCATTGTCCTCAGAGAGCTCTTGGCCTTCGTCATCGTCACCAGAAAGTCCTTGACCTTTGTCACATCACCACAAAGCTCTTGGGCCTTCATCGTGGTTGTCCTCAGAGCCTTTGGCCTTCACTGTTGTCACCAGAGAGCTGTTGGCCTTCGTCATCATCACCATCCTCAGAGAGCCCAAAGCCTTTGTCATCATCACCAGGGACTCCTTGATCTTCACCAGCGTCCTTGTCCTTCATCATGGTCACCAGATCCTTCATCATCGTCACCAGAGAGTCCCAGACCATCATGGTCCCTGAAGATCCTCCATCATGGTGACCAAAGAGCCTTCATCATCGGCATGAGTCCCTGGTCCTTGGTCACTCAAGAACCTTCATCATCATCGTCACCGAAGAGCCCTCGGCGTGTCCTCGTCCTTCCCCACCTTTGTCACCAGAGTCCCCATCTGTTGTCACCAGAAGGTCCCTGTCACCTCAGAGCCACC